CCACTGATCATCCTCCTGGGTTGTTTCCCCCTCCCAGCAGGGATGCAGGGCTCTGATCCGGCAGGGGTGGGAGGAGAGTGGGGTTTGGTCCCTTACAGCCCTGCCTCTCCCTATTGCCCTGATCGGCAGGGGAGCTCCGGGCCTGGGGGGAACGGGGGCTCCCGTGTGCTGGTGCGTGCACGGTGCCGCTGTGTAAAAACACGCGTGACGGGGATCCAAGCTAGCACTGCGGGGCACGAGCCGATTGCCCCAGGGGGCAGGGAGAGTTTGCCTTTCTTACATGCACCCACAAAAAGCCCCACCGGGGGCGGGGGGTAGCCTGCCCCTCCTGAAGCTGGAACCGGGCACGGTGTTTGGAGGACCATGGGTCCGGTGTGCCGCGAGACCTCTGTCCTGCGACACGCGGCTGCTTGCGTCGCGTCTCTGGTCATGGTGGTAGAAGGCCTGGGGTGTCTCGCCCGTGCAGCGAGTGTGGCTTATCTGGGGTGGCTTTTTTTCTAGGGAAAGTAGCTTTTTGCTCCTCGCAGAGGATGGTTAGAGGCTTTTAATCTTCCTGCTTGCCTTTTAGATGCAGAGCATCTGGGCACCTGGCAGCTATCTCTGATCCATCCAGCGCCGCTGGCCGTTCCCGCCATGTTCGGCTCATCCCGTGGAGGTGTGAGGGGGGGACAGGACCAGTTCAACTGGGAGGATGTGAAGACAGATAAGCAGCGGGAGAACTATCTGGGTAAGGGGAGATCCCATGATTACTTACAGCCTGGGGCAATCCAGCGCTCTCAGTCACAGCCTGACCAGCGGCCCTGGCGGCTGGTGAGTACCCGTGAGACCCGTAAGTCTCGGCCACCCTGGGACCGCTGTTCCGGCTGCATTTGCAGGCTTCGCTGCCCTGCTGGGGTGTTTCTTTGTGGTGTTTGCATTGGCTGCCCTTTGCCTCATCTTGCAAGCACGTGGTGCTTTGAACAGGCCACCGTCTTTGAGGCTTGTGTGGGTCCGTTGCGATCGCCCGGTCTGCCCTACAAAACGCAGGCCTGGGAACTCTGCTCCAGGCCTTCCACGCTGAGCCTGGCCATCTGTGGTGGGCTTCGAGGGAAGTTGTCGCTAAGAGCTGCTCTAATGAGACTGTTTGGAGAACGCCCCATTTCCCTTAGGAAGCAAAGCGGTGTCTGAGCATCGGTGAGCAAAGCGAATCTGGCTTAGGCTGTCAATCATGCCGCGAAAACACTTCGGGGGCTGCAGCAGTACAAAGTTTCCATACCAATACCGCACAGATGGGCTCTCACATGTTGCCTGTTCATAAAATGCCACTCTTAGAAGCTTAGTGGCTTGTCCTGTTGCCAACACAACCTTTTTCTGCCATCTGTG